ATATCACAAAAATCTAAAAACAAACTGTTTTCAAACTCACGACCATGATCAGATCGGATTCTTATGATACGCCCAATGGAAACACCCTGTTCATTTTGGATTTTAAGGACTAAGGCCTGGAAAGTATCAAACGTATCAGATTTTTCCCTTAAAAATTTATCCACGAAAATCGAGTAAAACATCACTAGTTAAAAAAATGTAACTTTTACCTCCAATGCTTTCAGTGCGAATGGGTCCCATAAGATCCATATGAACCAATTCAAGAGGACGTTTGGTTGTAAAGTTGTTCACCTTTTTATGAGGGGCACGTCTTTGCTTTTCGAGTTGACATGGTCCACACACATGATTCAGATTCTTACCCAGTTTAGGTACTCCTCTTACAAGCTCTTTGTTGGCTATCTTAGCTAGGTCTTTGAAATTCATGTGACCTAATCTTTGATGCTAAAAATCAATGTTACTTATGATGGCAGAGTGACAAGTGAGATCATTAGTAGTAACAATCCCATAGCAGTTATCAGATGTGCGAACCCCATGTAAGACAGTATTTCCCTTTTTATCCAAAATTTCACATTTATTTTTTGAAAACAATACTTCACGGTGGGAATCACACATTTGACTAATGCTCAAAAGATTTTCTTTAAGACCATCAACAAGTAAAGCATTTTCAAACTTGGGAAGACCAACTACACTTATAGAGCCCTTACCAATGACTCTAGAAGTGCCACCATCTCCAAAGGTAATAATTCCACCTTCATATTTTTCAAGAGAGGTGAAGTAGGATTTGTCACCTGACATGTGACGAGAGCACCCACTATCAAGATACCACATGTGTAAGTCACGTGCTTTTAGAGCCGTGTGAACAACTGAACAAGTCAAATCATCTTTTCTCACCCAAATCTTTTTGGTCTTAACAAAATCAGGTCCGACGATCTTGGTAAATGTCTTGGGGTTGTGAACACCCTCATGAATCTTGGTATTCTGCCTAGACATGTAAGGTTGTCTCCTAACCCAAAAAGTATTCGAATTTCTACCCTTTTGAGACACCTTACCAAACAATTCAAAGCAATAAGGGCGAATGTCGCCATACCTACCACAATGATGACAAATAAAAACAGGTTTTACCTCCCTTTTGTTGATCTTACCCCCGTTAGGTAGATCAAGAGAGGGATCACCCTGGTGTACCTTCAGCTTTCCCTTTGCTTGAGTCATCAGGTCATGTGATGTAGAGGCCTATCCCTTGTGAGCTGTCGCACCATAGCCTAGCCTACTTTTGTCACAACCCATTTGTTGAGACCCGACGATGTCTTCTAATGATTTGGAACCTTTGCTCCACATGGCAATTGTAGCTCTAGCAATTTGGAGTTCTTCATCTTTATGACAAACCCTCTCTTCCAATGTAGCTTGTGGCATCTCAAGGCTTTCAAGCTGCTCTTCATATGTGGAATACACTTTCAATGACAAACTAACTCTTCAATTGTAGCTTGTGACATCTCAAGACTTTAAAGCTTCTCTTCATATGTAGAATACACTTTCAGGAGTTCATTCCTTTTAGTTTCACATGATAGGAGTTTCCCACATAGGTCTTGCCTGTGGCTAGAGATCTCTATGACATTCTGCTTTGCTATTGTAAGTTCTCCTTTTAGCTTGACATTCTCACTTTCACATGCTTTAAGCTTAAGAGAGAGTTTGTCATTGATTTTGGACAAATTCAGAGATTCCTCGTAAAGCTTTTCGTAAGCTTGTTGTAGTTCATCACCATTAATCTCATCATTGTCTTCTGATGTTTCATCATCTTCTTTTTGTTCCTCATTCTCCTTGACCTCATCCAGTCTAGCAACTAAGGCAGGAAAGGTGATAGATGGCGGTGAAGATGAATCTCCTCTTTCATGAAATTGGCTCAGAATTTCCCATGCATCTTTAGCCTTTGTGCAGTGAGCAACCCGTTGCTATTCTTCATCAGAAATTGCTCCATGAATAGTAGTTAGAACTCTCTGATTGCTTGGATTGTCAACACTTTCAACATCCTCTTCAATGGTTTGTCAGCCTTCTGGATCGAAATCTCTCAGAAGCGCCCTCATTCTAATCTTCCAATACAAGTAGTTACTTCCATCAAAGGTGGGAGCATGATGCAGGTTCTGACCAAGAGCTAATTTCGCTGGCTTTGGAAGAGGTTGAGTGAAAGTGGACCAAAATGCTATGAAAGCACTATCCCCGTCTTCACCGGATTTAGGTTCTTCAGGTTCTTGCTCTGACCCACTTTCATCATCCCAAGTCACTGTGTAGACTTTCTTTCGATTCTTTTTCGAAGGACATTCAAAGGCAATATGGCCAAACCCTTGACATTCATAGCACTTGACCCCTTGCCCCTTTACAATCTTTTTTTCAGTTTTTGGAGCAAGTTTTGGTGGAAAAGTTTTGAGTTTTTCATTGCTCTTGTCTTTTGAAATAGGGTCTCTGAGATTAGGCTTCTTTTTCTTCAGAAATTTTTTAAACTGTTTAGTAAATATAGCCGTCATCTCAGACTCTAAATCAAACTCAATCTCCAAAGTTTTTGCAGTCTCATGAGCACTAGTGAAAGCCACACTATCTTTTTGTTTTTTCTTTGAAATCTGATAGGCTTCGTAAGTCTTCAAGTTTCCAACCAACTGATCAAGCTTGAGGGTATCAACATTCTGAGCCTCCTTAATAGCTGTCACTTTTGATTGGAACCTCTCGGGTAAAGATCTCAAAATTTTTCCAACAACTTTAGCTTCAGGGATTTTTTCACCGGGTGTGAAACAGGAATTCACGATGTCACTAAGTTTTGCATAGAAATCATCAAACGTCTCACCATCACGCATAAAAAGAGTTTCAAAGGCAGAGGTGAGATGTTGAAGTTTTGACCTTTTGACAGAAGTAGTACCTTCGTGAATCGTTTCAAGAATGTCTCAAGCCTCTTTTGCTACCTCACATGTGCAAATACGAAGAAATTCTTCAGGTGTGACGAAGCAAAAAAAGGAATTGAGAGCCTTACTATTCCAACTCAAGTTTTGGTAATCGGTTGTGTCCCATTTATCAAGGGGTTTAGGAATATCAATACCATCAATGGTGACAATAGGTTCACTCCACCCATAGATCACGCAGTGCCAAACTTTCTCATTGATGGATTTTAAAAATGCTCTCATACGCGCTTTCTAATAAGAATAGTTTGTACCGTCAAGTAAAGGAGGTCTATGGGTCGAGTAACCTTCACGAATTGAATCCATATCACTAGTCACAAAAAAATCACACTCCTAAAGTTTTGATAAAAACAAAGAGTGACCTGCTCTGATACCAATTGAAAATCCTAAGTGATTCGTGATTAGATCAAGATTAAAATATTTCAATTCCCAATTATTCAAAACACACAATCTAAATCATCAAGCACTTACAAAAGTGATTTAGACTGTTGTTTTCGGAATAAACAATAAATCGACACAAACAATTTTTACGTGAAAAAACCACAATTGAAGAACCTTCAATTGTAATCAACAACCACGGGTGAAACACCACTAATCAATCCACTACTGAAGAAAGAAAGATTACAAAGATAACACACAAATTACCCAACTCAGTCAATTTGTCTTCAAACCTTCTGTAACTCTTTCACCAAGCCTTCGTCTCGAAACTGATTAATCTGAAGTTTGAATCCACAACTTCACTTGTCGAATCACGACTACGTACAGAATCAAACTCCATTGAAACTCCACGTTTGAATCTTCGAAATCCACCGAAGAATAACACTCTTATATGTATTCAATCAATCTCCTTGATATGTGCTTGTCAATTCATGAGTTTAATACTCACTCAATTTAACAAGGAAAACTCACAAAAATACTCCAGAAGAAAACCTTAGAAAACCTCAAAGTAGATCTAAAAAACCTAATCCTAGTTTTGGAGTAAAACAAATACTTATAGAAATCCTGGACTGTGAAGCTCGCTCGAGCGAGAGCCTTATCTCGCGTGATTTCTATAAGTGGCTTCGCACGAGCCACGCAACCTACGCTCGAGCGTACAATCAACTCTTTCAGGTTTTTATGCAGACGCACTTCTTTGCTCGAGCACACATTCATCCCTTTCAGGTTTTTGCCAAATGCAGTCTTTGCTCGAGCGAGGACTCTTTCGCTCGAGCGAGAAAGACAAAATAGCACAAAAATTTAAAACTCAATCACATAAGTTTGTTCGAGGGATTGACAAGACTCAGGGACTTAACAAGAAGGATCGCTTGAGCCAAGGCCACTCGAGTGTAACAAACACCGCTCGAGCAACGAACACTACCCTCCCAGTATCTTTGCAGACTAATACGGGAAGTTCTCAAAGACAGCTCAAGCGAACAAAGCACCGCTCGAGATAACTGACCAAAATCTAGCCAACAGTTCTATTGAAAAAAAAACAACTTCCAACCAACGCCAAACGCAATAACAACATCCAAACAACCAAACTCAAGAAGAAATAGAATGAATGAAGATATGAACAACTATTCAAGAAAAAGAATCCCGGATCCAAACTATAAACAGGTCAGGTCTAAACTAGAATCGTTATAGTTAATTTCTTATTTAGTTTATCTTCATTTTCTAGGCATATCTATTTAATATTCATTTTCTGGACATGTCTATTTAAGTTAAGATGGTAAAACAAATCAAATTATTTCAACTCGAAATATGATATCCAATATTTAAATATTTTTTTACATATTAAAAATTTAAATAATTTTTTAATGAACTCCAAATCAAGATTAAGCAAATTACAATTTTGGACCAAATTTTAGCCAAATAAAATCATATTAAGATTCATATTCAAAATAAAAATGTAGTGTTAAATTAAGAATTCATACATATTTTGTTTGCATAATATTATAATTTCCATCGTAGGCCCCTAGCATGTCCACCATCAAATTATTTTACTTTTATTTGGATTTGGATAGAAAAAGAAGATTCAAATAAGTTTCGAATTTAAAATTGTAAATGAAAAGTAATTTTAAATTTTTTTTTTGGGTGCAGACTTTCTCATGGACAGGGTTAATAAAATAAATTAGGAAAATCAAACCTGGTGGTTGAACAAGGGTTGTGCTTCAAATCTTGTAGGCCAGTTGTAGAAACTTTTAAGGCTCACCAACTCGAAAAGTCTAAGAGTTGTTAATTGTGAGAACACGATGATATCATTACAGGTGGTTCCATTTTCTTTTTCTTTCTCCGTGACTATTGCTTCCATCTTTGGACAATTGTATACCTTGAATGTTTCCAGATTTTGCAGTCGTGGGAGCATATTGAACCGAACCACATGAACCAATTTCTCACAATCAGAAACCTCCAAATCTTTCAGTCGGCAGCACTTTGATTCGTTTTCTGAGGCTATGAGTAATCGCTTCTCCCATATCTCTATTATGTTAGGCAATTTCGAAATTACCAAATTCTCCATGACGGGGAAAGCAACCTGTAAAGTAATTTACAACACTTGTAGTTAGTTACTGTTACAAAATTGTGGATAAGCAACAATTGATAATTGTAACAGTTTCCAAATGTGTGCTCTGATCATGCATGAGTGGAAATGAAAAGCAATAGACAAGCAAATTTATAATTGCATATCTCCATATTCTTTTCAAATATTTATTATATTGCTTAATTATTAACTATGCAACTTTTTGTTATGACCTCTTCACATTGTTTTCCATCATTCATCACTATTTTTCTATATGCCTTAAATAATTTGTGTTCCTTAATCTTATTTGTTATTTTTTTGATGAGGCAAATTATACTGTAGATCTGAGTATTAGACCTACGAAAAGGAGGAAAATTTTATTTTAAAAATTCACCACGGTGCCTTGATAATTTTTTATATTGATAGTTTCTTATTTAATTTAATATTCATTTTCTTGGCATATCTATTTAAGTTAAGATGGTAAAACAAATCAAATTATTTGAACTCGAAATATGATATCCAGTATGATATCCAATATTTAAATATTTTTTTAAGGAACCCCAAACCAAGACTAGGCAAATTACAATTTTGGACATAATTTTAGCCAAATAAAGTCATATTAAGATTCATATTCAAAATAAAAATATAGTGTTAAATTTAGAATTCATACATATTTTTGTTTGGGTAATAATGTAATTTCCATCGTAGGCCCCTAACATGTCCACCTTCAAATTATTTTACTTTTATTTGGATTTGGATAGAAAGAGAATATTCAAATAAGTTTCAAATTTAAAATTGTAATTGAAAATGAATTTTAATTTTTTTATTTTTTTGGGTGCACACTTTCTCATGGACAGGGTTAAAAAAATAAATTAGGAAAATCAAACCTGGTGGTTGAACAAGGGTTGTGCTTCAAATCTTGTAGGCCAGTTGTAGAAACTTTTAAGGCTCACCAACTCGAAAAGTCCAAGAGTTATTAGTTGAGAGAACACGATGATATCATCACTGGTGGTTCCTTTTTCTTTTTCTTTCTCCGCGACTATTGCTTCCATCTTTGGACAATTTTCTACATTGAATCTTTTCAGATTTTGCAATCGTGGGAGCATGTTAAACCGAACCACATGAACCAATTTCTCACAATTAGAAACCTCCAAATCTTCAAGTCGGCAGAACTTTGATTCGTTTTCTGAGGCTATGAGTAATCGCTTCTCCCATATCTCTATTATGTTAGGCAATTTCGAAATTTCCAAATTCTCCAAGACGGGGAAAGCAACCTGTAAAGTAATTTACAACACTTGTAGTTAGTGACTGTTACAAAATTGTGGATAAGCAACAATTGATAATTGTAACAGTTTCCAAATGCGTGCTCTGATCATGCATGAGTGGAAATGAAAAGCAATAGACAAGCAAATTTATAATTGCATATCTCCATATTCTTTTCAAATAATTATTAACTATGAACCTTTTTGTTATGACCTCTTCACATTGTTTTCCATCATTCATCATTATTTTTCTATTTGCCTTAAATAATTTGTGTTCCTTAATCTTATTTGTTATTTTTTTGATAAGGCAAATTATACTGTAGATCTGAGTATTAGAC